ATTTTAAAGAAATTAAAGCAATATTTAACACGTTCCGGGCCTCGTGTACCACCGGTTGTACACATTAAACTTTATTATCTGGGTATTATCAGGGTATTATCAGGTACACATTAAACTTGTTCTTCAGGCCACGTGTACTACCGGTGGTACACTTAAACATATTTATTTAATGCGCACAAAATCACATGGTCTGAACGACAAATCAGGCAAAAAGGGCTTGGCACGGAACATGTTAAAGCATAACATCCCTAATAGCACAAAATATTGAAAAATATTGAATACATGTATACAAATACATGAATACATGTATTCAATATTTTTCAATATTTTGTGCTACTAGGGATGATACATAAGGGTGCCGACTAACATAAAGCATATTCTTGCATTTCAGTCAGTTAAACAACGTAAATTACATCTTTCTATAGATATAATATAAATGAATTTTTTTTTTAATATAATTGCTTCTTTTCGATAAAAATATACTTCTAATAACGGATAAGTTTTTCCATGGTTTGTCTCCAATTGATTTGTCCAATTTTTTTTTCGTTGCAAAAATAATCATTTTGTAAAAGTCCATACACTTAATTTTTCCTAAATGAAAAAAAGAAATTAATTAAAAAAAATTGTTTGTACGTTGTTTCTGCATAGTAAAAAAAAATTGTAATCGAGATTTTGTATACCTAAATTTAAGATCATCCATTAATATCAATATTTGAAAAACAATTAAACAAAATTTAAAAACAAAAATATCTCAGAGTTTTGTATTGTAATAAAATCTGACGGTTTGCGTTAATTTTGAATAAAATTTACAAAATAATTTATTATTATGTATGATGCATTATCCTCTTAAAAGACATTGGTAATTATGAATACATTTATTTATTCCTTACATTAAATACTTTCCATTGTGAAGGCATTCACTATTTGTTCATTTATATTTTTATTTTTAGAATTTTTTATATTTTTGCATTTTTAAAGCAAAGAGTAAAAAGCAGATAAATCTTTTTCTTATTAATCCAAAAAATTAAGTTCTAGTTATTATTAAGATGGTATTTATTATAATGAAGAGTGACTCATTGATATATCATTTCTTCTGAATTCATATAAAGAGGATTCCACATTAAATAATTTCTTCAAAAAATATTTTATTGTTGTTAAGTTAAAGATCAGAAACCACACACACTTGTAAAAATCCAATTGAAGAATTTTGATTTTTTTCTAGTAATGCCCCTTAATTTTTTTTATTAGATTCCATTTTATTAATAGTTTTTATATACCAATCTAAAGTTGGTCTTGATAATTTTAAAGCATCCATATATTGGTCAACCGTCCAACATGGATATTTCTGTTTTAATACTGATAAAAATTCCATGCGTAGATTAAGACTTATAAAATTTATTATTTTAGAATTATCATTAAAAGGAAGATTGGTATTGAATCTATGAAACCAATATTCAACCGCAACCGTAGCAACTTCATAAAATCGAAAAAGGTTCTTCATCATAAGCATACGTGCAGAATAAGTAACACCTATGTTACTTTTATAAAGATACCACAATGAATACATTATTATCTCGAAATCCATATTCGTAGGCGATCAACAAAAATCGTAAAAAAAACTTTTGAATTCAAAAACTATTCGTAATATTCAAATATATTAAAATAACTTACTATATGAACGTTTAATTTTGCTTCTATATAAATCTTGTTGTATTCGAATGTGATTATAAATGACTTTGAAAACCTTTACAAATCGGAATAAGTATAATAGTTCGTACAGTTGTCTTAATTTGATTCGGTAAGACAAGTTCTGTCCGTTTAAAATTTCTCGATATATATAAACAAAGATGTTATCCTGTACAATTGTAAGATTCTATCATTAATGATAGAATTTTATGAATAATTAGCCAACAATTGTAGTTCATTCAAGAAAGAAATGATTCTACGTTAAAAAATTTAATCAAAATTCTATATAACGTTAATCGTTAAGAAAATTGATTCTAATTTTTGAAAAATTTAAATTATTATTTTGACCTATTGTTATTATATTAACTATTATTGGTAAACACTGATGTCAATATTATTGTAGAAAGTATCACAGAAATTATGATGTGACCAAAGGGTAACGTTTCACTTCTATTAATCTAAAATTACCGTGAAATTATGGCAAAATATTCTGATCGATATTCGTTGATATGTTACTAGGCTTAAGATAAAAACAATTCAGGGATATTTTCATTTTCAGTAATACCAATAAAGTACAATACTAATATAAAGTTATATATTGTAATATGACAATATAATTATATAATATAAATATGTTGCAAATATACATAATCAAAAATAATAACTTGGACGATTTATTAAAAGCTGAAATATGAAACTTGTCATACTACTTTGCTGGAATTGTTTTAGGTGTCATTTATCATTTCTTTTTTTATTTAATTTTATATCTTTGAAAAAAAGTTGAACCCCGCAAAAGTATTTGCTTTTATTAATTTTACTTGTAAAATAGAAGAACTTTTATTACACGACGTTTATCTGAAATACGCGTGTCGTTTCTACTTTTCTCATGTGCTAGACATCAGTTATACCTAACTCTCATAAGAGAACATAATTTTCTTTCCCTACGAAACCGACTATTTGTTTTCCACGTAAGAAAAAGAAATTTTTTTTTTCTAAAAGAAATAATACTATAGGAGTTAGTTGCGTGTACGCAGTAAGATTGTTGATAACTTTATCATGATTTTCCTTATTTCTTCTCTCCCCCACCCCTCCACCTCGTCAAAGTTAAAATGATTAATCGCTCCGATAGAAGTTTAATTGAAAATTCTTCCGATCGAAGGAAAAATTTTTTAATAAAAAAAAAAAAAACTTAACGCTGACTTCCTCTTACAACCCCTCTTCTCACCTTTCTTCGTCACTAATGTAAAAAAAAAAAAAAAATTAAAGAGAAAAAAGAAAGAAAAAATATATAATTCGCAAATAATTAACGTTAACGTAAAATGTAAATATATTCGTGATAAGTTCGTTAGATGCTGTTAGATCTATCTGTAAGATATCTCACGTTCGTTCATACGAGAACTTGTTCATGCGGTGTCATGTAAATCTCGTTGGGGATCGATACAGAGTCTACTTCGTATGTTTCGATCGATCTTCCGAAGGCGGAGAGGTTTACAACTATTCAGAGGTTAAAGAACCCTAGAACTTCTAACAATCTAACACCAGCATGCGTAGGTCGGATTCATCCTCGACCAACATCGTAACTTTCTATTCCTTCACCCCACTATACCCCTCTAATGACTAGAATACCGTAAACCCAAACCGCCAGTACGTTTTCGCTGCAAGTTCGCTCGTTTTTTCTTCGCTAAACTTTTATCACGATTCTTTGATACGATATGTATTTCATATTACGTTCTATTTACTTATGCGTAACTACATTTGTTAGATTTTTTTTTCCTGTTTTCTTTGGGAGCACATAAGCCGTTTATTTTGGAAGTGGCTTAACTCCATTTTCCAAAAAAAATCGAATTAGCTACCGTAATAGTTACATTTTTACATAATCTTGTCATTCTGAAGCAATATGTTACAAATATATTTAAAATCATGAAAATTTTATAACAAGAAAATTTGTTGATTAATAGAATGATGAAAAGCTTATTTTGAAAGTGGCCTAACTCCATTTGTCAATTATTATTTTCCGATTACACCTGGTTATTATACAACTTCATGTTATGTATTAATAAAGCATTTGAGATTGCTTATATTCCGAGTAAATATGCTAATACTTTATTGTAAATAAAATGAGACAAAAAGATTTTGTATTAACAAAATTATTAGAAGACGCAATTTTTAAAAGGGTAAAGAATTCTAATGAAGAGTCAATAAACTGGTTAAAAATATGTTGGATGCGTTTTATCAGAAATAAACTGTATCAAATTTTCTATAAGACATCAATAAATGAGAATGAAAATTTGAAAGTATTGAATTTGTTACCACGTCGGGGTAGACCAAGAAATTTCGAAAATATTGTATTGAAATCATCATATAAAAATATCAGACAAATTAAAACARCAAAATTCAAGAACATAATTGACCTATTACGATATATACCACCGGAATATCATGATTTCTTCAAAAACCTTTCACACACACAAAATAGTAAATTGTTTTGTAGGTTATGTTTGTAATTTTGTAAGTTATATAGTTAAAAAATATTTGGAATCGCATAAACTATGTTTCTGAAGTGTTTTAAATATATGTAAAACAAATTGAGTATTATTTTTTTTCAATTTGAAGCATCTTAAATTATGTTGAATGGACTTAGGCCCCTTCGAAATTTTATAATAAATCTGGTTGTTAATTTTGAAAGTGGCTTAACTCCATTCGTGGTAAGAAAACGCATATAATTGCCACTATTTTAATAGGAACTATAAATTTAACAATCTTAGATACACTTAAGCAATATAACTCGTTAGTATCTTGTACGTATATTGCACTAAAACCTAAACCCTTCAATATTTCGATTTGTACATAAATGGAGTTATGCCACTTTCAAAATAAACGGCTCATATATTTGAATAAGATATTTGAACAAGAATTTATTTATTTTTTTCTAATACATTGATTTTTTAAAGAATCCAATATTATTCTTTCCGATCTTTTAATTAACATGTTAGAAGATAATAATTCAGTGTCTAAAAAATGAAATTTTTATTTATTCCAAATCTTACGTATTTCCTTGTTAGTCTAATCAAATAGTAAAAACTATTATATTCTATAAAATATACGTTTACTTAATTAGCAGATATGATAAAAAAAATAAATTATGATTCAACAATCACAGAGCGTAACTTAAACCTTATACAAGAATTCACGTAAATTCTTACGTCACGCGACAATTTAATACCAATTTCAAGTGTTCAATTTGAATGTAATATTTCTTTACGTTATTATAATCTAATGTAATAGTTAAAAAAGAGAAAAAAATAAGTACTTACGTAGGGTCACCATTTTGTTCCGGTCTCATAACATTTCCACTAAGCGTCTCGATTTCATCCGGTCGTTTGACAATATGCATCCCTCTTTTCACTCTCGGTGAAGAAACTCCTTTAACGGTATCAACACTAACTCCAGTATCGGTAGATCGTTCGCTATCATTAGAACTAGTAGAAAGTCGTGTCAATGATCTTTGCAGTGTATTTTCATCGTGATTCTCATTATTTCGATGTTGAGATCCTTTAGAAGAAACATTCCCGATATTAGGGTCACCAACGGAGTTCACAGAGATTCCATTCGTTTGCAATATCGTCGAATTCGTTATTTCATTATTAATTGTTTTCATCGATGACATCGTTCCAGTTATTCTTTCTGAGTCATTTGTCGAACCTAAATTATTTTGTTTTTGATCGTTAACTTTTTGTTTTGTTTCATTTTCAACGGTAGCTTCAGTTATGACTTTACTACCAGTTAACTTGGTTAATCTCGAGTTACTGTCATTGTTGCTTTTGTTGTTATTAATTAGACCACTTGTATTTCCAACAATTTTGCCCGTTGTTGTAAGAATCATGTCGTTACTGATATTCGATTTTCCATCACTAATAATTTTTTCCAACTCAACTTGTTCGATTTCTATTTGCTTGGTACTGTTTTCTAACAATGAAGTATTAGAATCTGGTGAAAACTCGTCGAAAGCTGTTCGTTTGTTATTCTTCAAATTTTTTTGATTTTTCGGATTGGAACCCTTAGAACTGGCAGAATCGTTTTCCTTTCCATCGAGACGTTCACGACTAGTCGTACGATTATAACCTCTATTTGTTCGTGCACTATTCAAGCGTGATTTAATTGCATTGTTCGAGCTAGCTGAAGAATCACTAGTACCTTCTTTGCTCGTCATAGAATAACGTTCGTTGTTGGTTTTGGTTGGTGTTTCATAACCTGGCGTATTCTTTTTTCGATGATGTTTTTCTTCATTTTGGCCACTCTGTAATTTTGATTTTCCGTTTGAATCATTTTTTGACATTGCCGATTCGGATTTTCTCGTCAGATCAACCAACTGTCCTTCAATTTTCGTTGGATCTATTGGAATTCTTGAATTATCGATACGAAGAGGTTGTACTGCTGTCGTTGTTGTAGTATTAACAACACTTGATGTACCAGTTACACCAGAAGTTCTTTTCAAAAGATCCGTTAAACCGATTTGATCGTTATTATTGATGTTACTGTTGCTTGATCGTTCCTGGTTAGTTCCATTACTCATTCCTTTCATTTGAATCATTTGTTCATTGTTATCGGTTTCCTTATTCTTGGACATTTCAGGCATGCTAATACTGGATGAAACTTTGGATCCATTGTTTTTCAAGGGTATTTTGGATGTTTTAGCAGGTACTACCGTGTTGTCATCGGTTGTTATGAACCTCTCTCTTTTTTGAGTATTTGTCGGTGGAGAAATAAAACGTGTACCAGATGATATACCAGTCATCGTATTTCGTTGCAGATTCTTTACATTTTTAGGATCTCTTCTTGCTGGTCCCGTATTTGACTTATCCACTTTTGTTGGAGTACCACGAATTGGTGAAAGTTTAGTTAGTGGTATTCTTCCTGATCGATTTCCTCTCGATCTGGATACATCGCTCACAGTATTACTTTTTCGAGAATCACTAACGTTGTCGAAACTTCCGTGAACACTCAACCGATTCTTTTGGTCCCCTCGACGTCCAATCTTTGGTGAAACTCTGTCATCACTTGTTTTGCTTAACGATACCGATCGCCGTCGTTGGGTTGGTTGTGGTATTAAACTCTTTCTCGGACTGGTCTGCTGTGATGCTACAATTAAAATAAAAGAAAGTATTTTAGAAAAACTATTTTTTGTCGTTGTGAAAGAATTTGATGTTTATTAACACTTTACCATCTGCTCTTTTCATCAAAATTTTTTCGTTTTTCTATTTATTCATATTTTATTGGATACTTATTGTTAGTATTTATCTTTTAAATGAAACCACCCACTAACTCTTATCCGATAATTTCCGCATGACACCACCGTGGTGTACCGGGCGGCATAGTTTTAAGTGAAGATTTGATTTTAACTGATTATTAGTTAGATAGTGCAATGAAATCCTATCGTATATGTACTAATTATATTATACATAAATCAACAGGTTATGTATCAGGTTATAAAAGACCTACAAAACTTTGAAATTATACTTGATCAAATTTTAACACGTTACTTTAAAAAAAAAGAGCACAAATTTCGACTTATAAAGTAATTTTTATTTTATTAAGTAGCTCGAAGAATTTTCATGCTGTATTTTACGAGAAATATATACATTTTTAAATTATCATGTTTTGTTTATTTTTATGAATCTTTTATTTACATGTTAAATACCTCTCGAATCACTGCGAACATTTCTCCGGTAGCTTTTTCTTGGATCGAGATAATCATCCGGTGAGTCAGGTCTTGATCTAGGTGGTGGACCTTTGAAACCACGACCTCGGAACGGCGAAACCCTTCCTGGTGGCTGAGTAGGTGAGACACTTCTTGATTCTGGTGTTGCTGGTCTACTTTCGGCAATTATCACGAAACTGGAACGACGATGAGCCCTACCAAGGGCTGTACCTGTTATAACGAGCATTTTATTTCATCTCTTTCTTGTTATATTGAATATTATAATTGAAAAATTGCAGATCAAATATTCTAACCTATCAGACTTTCCTTTTAAATTAATTTTTTTATCAATTGAAAAATTGAAATCAATTTTGTTACAAATTTATATAGATGATGAAAAATATCATTATGAAGAACTTTCATACAATAACTCATGTCCGGATTCGTTTCGTTTGATAATTAAAAAAAAAAACGTGACGCGTGTTGTCAGAATACTTTCTCTAAATCTCGTCTAAGGAGTTATAGTAAATCGTAGTTTTGTTTTTAATTTAATCTTTGATGGAAATAATTAAGTTTGGAATTATAATTCCGTAGTGTTACCTAAATTGATTAGCACATACATCATGTTCTATAATTAGGAAACGAAATGTTTTCGAATATGAGTTTCTATATGAAAGTTGTTCTTTATCCTGTATAAATAATACCAAAAATCAAATAACTATCATTTCATCTATCAAAACACATTTAAATACTTCTATTGAAATAAAATATTAAAAAAAAAACATAATTAGAGAGAAAATTGGTTGATTAATTGATTAAAAATAATCTAATCGTACCAGATGGCACCAATTTGTATGGTTCCGGTGCGGTTGGTAGTGGCGGTGATGGTGGTTGAGCTGGAAGCTGTAATTTCGGTGATGTCGATCTTTGTTGGGTTTTGATCGACGATGACGACAAGGACGAGCCGAGATAGGAAGAATCTCGTGTCGTAATGACACGAAATGGAGGTGACGCTCCAGTTTTACGCGTACCACGAGCATCGTCAAAGCGTCTCATCTTAGCTGATCTCTTGAATCCTTCATAGAGGCTGACGTTTTTTTACTCTCACCTAAGAATACAAATTAAAAAGATTTGTTTGTTATTATTTTTATGAAAATTTTATTATATTATTATTATATAAAAATATTATATGAAAATATAATAATAAAATATAATGTGAAAATTTAAATATTATATGAAAACATAATAATAAATATAATGAAAATTTTATTATATTGTTATTCTATGAAAATATAAAATATAATGTGAAAATTTTATTAAATTGTTATATTATATGAAAAGAATTTTTTTTTGTTATTATATAAAATATGAAAAGAAGTTATTTCACGTGTTTTGTTTTGTAATCTTAATTATTTTTCAAAATTGGACTTATACTGGTACGACTTTAAAACAAAACAGCTCATTTGCAAGTGTAAATAAAACTGGAACCAATTTGATGCTTAAAAAATAAAGTAAAATTATATTCAAATATTGTATTATAGAATAAAAGAAATAAAATTAAGAACAATTCATTGTTTAAGTTAAAAGAAAAGCTCATAAAAAAATGTTATTTTATTTATATCATAAGTAAATGGTACTTCTTAATTTCATCATTAGTGTTAAAGTGTACAATAACATGTGTATATATGTATACTAGTTAATTAGCCGTAGTTTCACTAATTTTATTATATATGCAATTATATATATATATATGTGTGTATATATATGCATTACTTAATTAGACTTAAATTCACTAACACTATAATATTACATTTATAAGAGCATATGTTATCTCTGTGTTAATTAGTATATCAATACACATATACAATGTGGACATTTGTACTACTTAATTACACTTAACTTCATAATTATCATGAAATTTGTAATAGCACATATGAATACAAGTTGTCCCAGCCTAACTACCAAGGCTTACTCTGCAAATGGAAACAAGAAAATAATGTTATTTAAAGTTCGATTATAGAAAAAATGCTTTATTACAAAATTAGAAAAACAAATGAAATTGAAATAAATAAAAACAGTAATACATTGCTCTGCATTTTTAATATCTATTTTCCATTATACAACTTGAGCTCATTTTGACCTAGGAGTGAATAGCATGATGTTCATTCAACTCTAGAAAATGACAAATCTTAAATTTTGTTGAAAATACTTCTACACTAAGCATTTGACGTACTTTATCTCAACAATAGATATCATGAAATACAATTTAAAAAACATGACGAGCTGATGAAAGATTTACTTATCATTACTTTTTAAGAATTACTTCTAATTAATTACTGGAAAGAAGTTGAATATTATAATCGATATATGAATACAGTAAAATTTTTCTCATCAAGAATATTGTAAACAGATGAAACGACTTTTACAAGGTGAGGCTATTTCACCTGATAAAGAAGCTTTTAACACGAATTTTGGTGTAATATTTGGGTACGTATGCTAAACGACTTGCTCATTGATCCATTAAATCTGCTCTTACTTATTTCAATTGCATTTGTTTATAACATCATAATAAAGCATTTCTAAGTGAACTTCATATATCATTTTTTTTTATTTCCACTTGCAAAATATGCTCCTGTAATTTGTTCCTTAAACATTTTGTATATGAGCCGTTCATTTTGAAAGTGGCATAATTGTAAGTTCATTTATGTTCCAATCGAGATATTTAAGGGTTTGCATTGAATTAAATTTAAAAATATAGATACTAGATGACATATAGTATTCAGAATAATATTTTTTGATTTCTAAATGTGTTAAATTTATCATCCCAATTGGAAGAATTAACATTATTTAGGAAATAATATATTTTTGATGGTTATCATTAGACTAAAGCCACTTTCAAAATCAATGAAATGACGTTTTCAATTCTTAAGAAAGCACAAGTTCATAGAAAAAGTAAGTTTTTCTTGAAGTAAGAATAAATGTATACACTTTTATGTTATAAAAACAAAAAAATATTCAACTTTTATTCTTTGTTAAATAATTTTTACATTAAAATTAATATTGTTTTATTAATTACTGGCAAAGCTAACCAATTTTTGAAAAAATGGGCTTGCGGTTTATTGTATGTTATCTTAATTGTTTTTTTTTTTACTGTAGAAAACACCAATAAAAAGCATCTTTTAAAAAATTTCAAAGAAAATAAACGGATGTTATATAAACGTATGTGCTACAAACAACCGAATTTAGCGCGCTTGAATGGCGAAATGCTTTCTTGCGTTTTCTTTCTTGCCAATTTCTTTCTTGCTTTTTTTTCGTGCTAAATTCTTTCGTTTAAATTTCTTTCTTTTCCCAAAAATAGGAGTTAAAAGGTTCAGAAAACAAAATCAAATTAAACCTTTATATATATATATATATAGACAGATAGATAGTCTTGTTCAGTTTATGTATGAGGGAGGAATTTAAAAAAACTGTGGTGTTTAAGTGGAGTATATAATTTAATAAATTTATTTAGTTCTTGTATTTTAGGTCTTGTTTTTTGTATGGTAATGCAAACTAAATTATTAACATTATTTAGGAAATAATAGGTTTTTAATGGCTGTAGTTGGATTTAGACCACTTTAAATATATAAACGTCTATAAAATATATAAAAGTTTATTAAAAAATAATAAAATTTTTCATCACTTCATTAACCGGCAAATTTTCGTATTACCAAATCTTAATAAATTTAAATATATAATAAAATTAAATATATTAAATATATAATTAATATCAAAATTATATATTTAATTATATTATAATTATTTAATTAATTAAAAATAATTAATTATATTATAATTAAATATATAATTTATAGTCTTTAGAATGAAAAGATCATGTAAAAATGTAACTATTATTAATTTAATTTTTTTTCAAATGGACTTAGATCACTTTCAAAATAAACGGCTCAATTATAAAGGCATATTATAGAATATGTGATAAAAAATATTATATTAATAAATTTTCTTGAACAGCATGAAATGTTCTCACTTTGATTTACACTAATGTATATAAACGTATTATCGTATACATATAGTACGAAATGTTTTCTTGTGCAATTTCCACAGTAGCATTAAATTTGCTCACTTTCGACTTTTCGAAAGTACTCGCGTAGCTCGTTTAGTTCGAAGTAATACTCTCAGGAAGAGATACTAATTCGAGAAAGGGGAAGAGGATTCATCTACGTCTCGGTCTGATGCCTGGTTAATTATTAAGAGCTCGCGTAATACTGTCATTATCCGTCGATCCTACTATACTAAATAAGCTAATTTCACAGCATTCTTCTTCACGGTGTTTTCGCTACAGTTGGCCGAGCTAAAGTTTAATGTCTTCCTTTTTCTTCGTATAGTACGAAATGCTTTAGGTATATCGCACCTTCTTTACGCTCTCTTAATCATGCTGGAACATGTGGCGTTTCGATTTGCACTAACGATTTTTACGTCATCCCACCCTTGCACAAATCTCGAATCTTTGGTAATTTTACATCGAAACTGTTTGTCGAATTTAATTTGATTTTTAGCCGTAAATTTAACTAAATTGATAGTTTCATTATTTGGACAATGTGTATATGTAGATAAATAGTTTTAATAATAAAAGTAGAATTGAATTAATGTCTCGAATATTATCACGTGTATTTAAACAAAGTGATAGAAATAATATCGTTAACTTCTACTAAATTATCGAAGTGAGTTTTCTATCAACGCCTTAAAATTTACTCCCCTCGGGTGAAAATCAATGCCAGAAAGATAGAGAGTATCGATTGATCGAATTAATGGAACTTAACGGCATTATAGGTTGCTTCAAATGAATATATGTATATTTATTTTTAAAAGTGACTATAAATATTATTTTATTTTACATAATAATTAAAAAAAAATAATACGATATTCGTTGTTGCAACAATACTTGAACAACAACGATAAACAATGTTTAAAAATGAAGCTATTTTTTCTTAATGAAAATACATATAACACATTTTTATGTAAAAACTTAACGGTGTTTTAGGTTGCTCGAAATGCATATATATGTAAATTTTTTTTTTTTTTAAGTGACTATAAATGTTATTATTTTATTTTACATAATAATTAAAAAAAAATTCTTAAAAAGATAATACGATATTCGTTGTTGAAATAATACTTGAACAACAACGATAAACAATGTTTAAAAATGAAGCTATTTTTTCTAAATGAAAGTACATTTTATATAAAATTTATAAAAATGACCTTGAATTATGAAATGTGAACAAAAAAAAAAAGAAAAACTAGATTTTTTGTTACGTAGGAAAGCATTATTCGTGATTTTGAACGTTTCAAGTAAGATTGAAGGAAGTGTCACGTTAAGAGCGGCACCTAAATTGCTTTTAGAATTTAGATGCAGTTAAGTTCGAACGATTGCGACCTCGTGTCCAAAGTATAATTCACGGTCTCTTGTCATTCGTTGTTGAACGAATACCATGCTAATATTTACGACTACCGTTTTCTACCAAAGAATAGACAAACACGTACGCATATACACATGTAAAATATAACATGATAGATCATTTTCTTATTGTTTTTTTTTTCCTTTTAATTTAATTAAATATACAGATTATTCCCGTTGCGGAAAAAAATAATATCCATGTACGATAAATAAGCACGCAATTTGTATAAATTTTCATCATTTGAATTATACATCATATGCGCATAAAAAAAATAATAGCGAATGAAGGCACGAAGGTAATATAAGAATGTCAACGACTCGGTAATCGTGAAAGTCTTCGATGTGTCATGTCGCAATTTCTTTTGCAAAATGTGCTCGTTATGTCGAAAAGAAAAAGTACGGTATCTTTTCCGAGAAAAGAGAAATCAAATTGTATGATTGAAGTGTCATCAGTGTTAACATGTGAGTGGTCCCTTCGTTTCGTTTCCAGGTATTTTCTCTTTTAACCGCAAAAAACAAATCGTGTAAATTCTTAGTTCTTAGTTTCTCTACTTATATTATTTATTTATAATAAAACGTCGATTATATCCGGTATTCAGTAATTTGAATGATAGTTTATTCGAATCTAATATGCGTCAGGCATGTACAAACTTTTCTATTATGTATTTTAGTAATGTTTATATGTTATGGGATATGTATCTGTTAAATTCTTCAAATCTTTAGTAATGTCTGACTTGTTTTTTTTTTGTTTTTATATTAATTTATTGATATAATATTATTAATTAATATAAAATTATATAAATTTATTGATGAACTTTAGTTCAACATATAACGCTACAAAGTTCAACATAAACGCTATAAAGTTTAGAGTTTTAGGTAGACATGACATGGTAATGTCACTTACAATTAATCAAATGCATCTTGACAGGGAACTTGTTAACGAGTATATCATTGCTTCCTATATTTTATAAAAGAAAACGATCATATAAAAATAATCATTTATTGAAAAAAAAAAGTGGAAATTAACTATTACTATTAACTACTACAATTAACTAGTTTTATTGGTAAGGGTTTTACAAAAATGGCTATAAAAAATGATTGTCGGCACATAAAAGAAAAAAAAAAGAAAAACTTACGACCTTAAAGCATCGTCGAAATTGAATGAATATGCGCAATCGCATATTCGTTCACGCGAAGAGTGTTCGCAATTTTTCAGGATACCCACCTATGCACCGTGCACTCTATCTAATTATGATCGTCTAGCTGGGAGCGCCGCAGCAAAAGTAACCGCCCACGCCTCTCGTACTCTTTCAAAGCTAAGAAACCCTACGTACAAATGTCTAGGTATATGCTGATACAAATATACCTATATAAATACGTACACGTGTCTATGCATGTATATAAGTATTTTGCGATAACGAGATATCATGCACGAGATAGAAAATTTTTAACCGATAAAATTGCTCAACTCTCCTTCCTCGTCACGAGAAACCTAAGAATCTAGGACGAAGTAGGACTATTTTCTTACACTAAGTTTCCACGTGTCCTTTCGATGATCGATTTCACTCACTTACGCGTTCAATTGCCCCTTTTTTTAAGTCGCAATACCGAGAGGTTAGAAAGAAGGTCCTTGATTCGTTAAATCAACCGATTCTTGTTTCAAAAGAAACATTATTTTGCTTTTTCTATTTTTTGATAATGTAATGTTTACACATTTACAATTCTGTAACTTATTTGTGTATTATTTTAAAAATAATTGCATATATTATATCATGAAACTTGATTGATTGATTTTTTTGTTAAAGGAATTAATTGTTTTCTATTTTTATACTGATATTTGTTAATTATATGTAGGAACAATTAAATTTATTATTTAAGAATAATTAAATCACATTTTACAAATGATTATGTCAAATTTGATCATCCAGTCCATCATAATTATTAAAAATCTTTTAGTTAGAAGTACGTGAATATTTTCGTTCAAGGCCACTTAAAGGTCATTAAATTTTAAAATCACTTTTAAGAGACGTAAATAAAATGACTAATATTTTTGATATTTTTTAATAACTCTAAAATATATTTATAATAGAATTGTTAAGTAAATTTTTTATTATTTCCATGATATCTTGATCTGCGAAGTCACACAACATATACATTTATATATTATATTTTATTTGATATGATTGTTAGTTTAAGAGATTAATTTATAAGTAGCATTTAAAAGTTAATATTAATCAAGTATTAAACATAATTTTTTCATTTAAATATGAATATAGGATATTGTTTATAACTTTAAAGTAGCTTTTCTTAAAAAGATTACATACGGTTTGTATGCTTACGCGCATTAACATTTAAAAGTTAATATATATATTAGTTTAAGTATGAAATATAATTTCACACATTATATAATTTTCGTTAAAATTTGAAAATAAAATATTTTGTATAACTTTAAAGTAGCTTTAAAAAGATTACATACCTTCGTACGGTTTGTATGTTTACGCTCTGAAGGATAGAATTTGAAATGACGTATTCCTTCAACTCTAGCGATCAGTTATATTCGGACGTTCCTGCCAACTACTCGGGTGCGTATCAAAAAATGATCATAGCTCGTTGTTATTCTCATTTTCTATATAGATCTTACATATCCATAAATACTTAACTAACATAGCTTCCGATCAGCGAAGTGTTTAATTATTTACAAACTTTCTCCAATTAAGCGATCGGTTTGTTAGATTCGATGCTATTTGATCATTTGATTATTTTTTTCTTCCGAGATTAAAAAAAAAAAAAAAGAAAAACTCTTACAATAATTTGTATACTTTATCTCGTATTATTATAATTATTTTTACTATTATATTTTAAATTAAACGAATAATCTTTGATCCAAGATGTGAATTTTTTTTCAATTCGAAATAATCGGATAAGATACACCTTACTTTTACTTGAGGATATTTATCTTTAATATTATTACGCTTTCTCTAAATAGTTAATTGAATTTAGGTAATTGTTTTTTTAAATTCATGAACTCCTTAGAAATATAAATATGTACGTTATCTTCGAGAATTTATATATACTTTCAAACTTTTTCTCCAAACATTCGAATTTGAAACTTTTCCCAAAGGAATTTTATTTCTCTCAGCAAGGTAAGGAAAACTTAACATGTAAATTGTTTTCGATGGTTCGTGGTTAAAGTCTAAGATAAGGGCATCGTTTCGGCTGACAGATTTATGAGAGTGATTTGAAAAATAATCTTTGTACGGTCATGCGCATGAAAACGATCATTTTTCATTTCGGAAATTAATTTGATATCAATAATAAAACAAATTCTTCCTAAAAAAAAAAAAAAAATTTTATAGAAAATCTGAAAAAAATCTATTTGAATTATTTATAAATTATTTTCTTTTTTTACTAATGCAAGAACAATTTTAAAACATAATTTCAAAGAATTTGTAAACTAATCGATAAATTTCGATTATTGTTACAAAATTTCGGATGTCAAATTTTAATAACAATTTTTATTTTCTTTTTTATTTTTTTAATTTTCTGATGGATAAATTTTTACATGTCTTATTTTCACAAAGTATTCAATATAATGGTGAACATTTTGTTTGAAATCAAACTCAAACGTCATTCAAATATTCCATGGTTTGTGAATGTATACATGGAAGTTACAATTGATTGACAGATGACGTGTTTACGATGTGAGAGTAACATATAACAGTAAGAATATTTTATTATTCGTTTTAGTATGCTCCCCGTTGAATTTATCTTGGAAATTTCAAGACTAGATCGCATTCTTTTACATTAAATAAAGTGTAGTAAATTCTAAGATAGTAGAGCATTCTTCGTACGTTGTTCTAAACAAGGAAAGAATAAAATAAGAAAGAAAAAAAGAAAGAGAGCGTGGAGAACTTCCGGCTGTGTGAAGAATTTAAATAATAAAGTATTAAATTTACCAGAAAATTACGTATACGTAATAAAATAAGATATGGTTCAATTAAATGCTATTCAGTTTTTAATGAGAACAATCTGAATACCAAAAAAGTGACAGATATTTTTCATTCAAACAGATTTTAAGTATCCTCTTTTTCTTCTATTCTATAAAATTCATTTAAAAAATGTATTTCATAAAAAAATAATTAATTCCTAGAATACTATTTAATTATTGTAAAAATGAAGTTTAGTTTGTAAAAAAAGAGAAAGAAAAAAGAAACATTTAGTATAATTAGAGACACGAAAAGTAATAGTGGAACGTGTGAACGAAATTATAATATGTGAAAGAATTTCGATCAACAGGATTGTCAAATAAATAGTCTATTTAAAAAATTACGAACAATTAAAAGTAGATTTTTAATTAAACAAGTCTTTTCAATCCTTCGATCTCTGAAATTTGTCAATTCTTTTCCAAAACTTCTTCTCCACCTCATGATTGATCTCCAAAATTGTTGAATGTTTTTTTATGAATTCAACAAAAACAAAAAGTAATGACGTGCCTTTAAAATGATTATTTATTATACGAATAAAACTTTTCATTTCTTTCCACCATTTGATTATCAAAGTGATTAAAATAGTGTCCAATAAAAAAAAAAAAAAAAAATATTGAAAGATGACACGTGATAATTGGAATAAGAATTTGCTAAATGAAAATAACTCTTTTTCGGTAGACCTAATATTTTCAAAGTCGAGGTTGGGATAGGAATCGGTCGATAAAGTTGTCGTAGAAGGTCGAGGAGACAAGGGCCACGATAAAGAGAGGTGAGAGGTCTGACTCACCTGGCTACCAGGCGGAGAAAAGAAATTTTCATCATCTGACCCCTGACATCGATGGTCGTCGAATTAACGCGCGGAAGGGTTAAGAGGGAAAGTGACACAGTAAGAGACACACAGAAATAGAGAAAGAGATAGAAAGAGAGAGAAAAAATGAGAGAAAGGAAAAGAGAGAGAGAGAGAGAAAAGAAGCGAGAGTAAGAACAAGAAGTAAGGTAGTAAGAGAATAATAGAAAAAGAGGGATAAAGAGAATAAGTGCTAAAGGGTAAGAGAAAGAGAGAGAGAAAGAGAGAGAGAGAGAGAGGGTTAGAAAGAGAAAGAAAAAAAGGAGAAAAGACACTAAAGGAGTCGAAGAAGTCGGCCGGAGCCGACTCACGGACGGAGACTGAGAAAGGACGAAAGACGACGTTTGAGACCACCCTTGCGAGTGACCACCTAACTTGGGGGTGGTAGTAGTGGTAAGGTGGTAGTGGTAATACTACCACTACTGTAGTAGTAGTAGTGGTGAAGGTGGTGGTAATATTCTTATCAGTAGTAGTAGTAGTGCTGATGGTTGTGGAGGTGGTGGTTTGCACTTGAAAGTCCACCTCACTCGATTGCTAAAGCTCCCAACTTATTATTCCCTCAGTTGAACACCTTTCTTTCCTTATTTCTCTTTCTCTTTCTTTCTTTCTTTCTTTCTTTCCTTCTCTGACGATTAAGAACACCGAGTCCAACGAACGTCTTTGCAGCACCGCGAACGCGAGCTTACTGACTTTGTTCAGTTTAACGCTGGCCAACGTAAGAGTTGGCGCTGACAAAGTCCGAGACCGTCTTACCCGACTTTTCACTAATCGAGGAAGAACTTATGAGAGGCCTTACTTTCTCTCCTACTTTTTAACGACATATGTATTATATACTTATTTATCTCTATTTTTTTTATCTTCTTTTTTTCACACTTTCTCATTAGTTTCTATAAATTCTTATCGTTCAAATATACATGCCAGAAATTTTTATCTAAAAATTTTCTCATTGTTTTACTCGTTAAGAAAAGTATCCTTTTTATACTTTCTCATTGTGCAAAAAAACCGGAGAAATTTTGATTTAAAATTGTTTTTTTTTTTTTTTATTCATTAATAAGAAGCTTATTATTGACCAAAAAGTAAGAAATTAATACTTTCCTTTCTTTAATGCTTTTTCATAAATTTTTTTAAATTCTCAAAGCACACAGAGATAATGGGCGAGATTTTTATTCGAATTTGTTCTTTTTTTATTCATTAAGAAAAACATTTAGATTAATTAAAGAATAATAAAGAAAAATGTGTATATTCATTATTTATGTGTATATTATTGTTCGAAAGTAATAAAAGAATGATAGCAACGATAACCCTAAAGATCAAGTCTCATTGTCAATTAACATTTCATTGACGTTCCTTATTTTCGTGCAGATTTAAAATTAGCTCGATCGATGTTTGGCTTGCTTCTGATAGGAGAACACGTGTTTCGAAAAGGTTATTGACTCGATGAAACAGCTGACTGTACTTAGTCTTGAAAATATTCTGAAAATACCGACTAAATAATAATGATAATATTAATAATTACGATGATAATAATACTAATTATTATATGATAATAATGGTAATAACAAGAGAAAAAAAGATGATAATAATAATAAAAGTTTAAAAAAGCACAACGCTATCGGTAATGAAACATGCTTGTTCGTGATATAAGCTTCGAATTACTTATCTCGGTGCTTATTTTTCAACGAAAACGAATATGATGACCAAATAATTGGGCTTCTATGTAAGAGAGATAGATCACTTGATTTCTTAAGCTCCGTTGCTTCGCGATCGATAAGACTAGATCCGTTAGGCGCAACAGACCATAAATTTCTTTCATTACTAATTGCCTTTCCCCTTACTATATCTTTTCAAATTGAAAATAATTCATTTTTCCTATCTTATTATCATTTTCCTTTTTTCTTCAATTTATTTTTTAATAATTTATACAATCACAAGAAGATAAAGTATGTAGTTTTTATCATCGTAATTTATTCATATTAATGATTTTTATTAATAACGTTACAGATATACAAGATATTTCAAAGATTGACTTTATAGAATTCAATAATTAATAATATATTTTTTACAGAGTACTTGAAATGACAACAATATTTTTTTCAACAATATTGTAACTAGAGACTCATAACTTAAAATGAAAAACAAAAGATTACAATTCTATTAATAATTCAATAATTGATTTTAATGTTTGGCTTATTTTTCATTGATAAAGCGACTTTTTGAACACTGTATATATTTAAGTAATTTATTTATGTTATTTTGTATAGAAATTTATCAAATATAATATGATTCCATCTGCAACAAACTTATCAGGCTCTCATGTCAGTTCAAATCTAACATTTGAAATATTTTAAAAAGCTTATTATTTTCTACGTAAAACGTAATCGGTCGTTAGTGTATTAACGAGAATTGTACTGAAAGGAGACAAAGAGTAATGCAAAGCTTATTTATCGTGCACGTTATTAAAAATAAAACAAGAGAAGAAGAAAAAAACAAGGAAAGGGCAAAAGGCTATATAACTTGATAGTTGACATGCAAGGTGAGTACTTACGCGCGCTATGAAGATTTATTATAAATTTAATAAAGTTATTATATAAATATATTAATTCTCTTTGTTTTTAATAAGATTTGTATAATATTTACGTATAATAATTTTAATTAATTTTTGTAAATACGAAGAACGAAACGCGTCCGGAAAAAATATAATATTTCAAGTAGCACCGCCATTTTGAAAATTGGCGTGCTTCGCGATGATAAAAGTTTGAATTTAAATCAAACGAATTCCAATATTGTCGTAGTAACGCGTTAAAATATTCAAATAATTAATTAATCGATTTAAATCCAAAATAAATTTTTGAAATTGGCGCTCATCGATGATATCCAATAAAAAGTTGAAATTAAAAACAAATGAATTCTTACGAATATGCAGTAGTGTGTAGAATATTAAAATAAATGACACAAGAAATTTAAATACAGAGCTATTGTCCCACATTTATTCAAGCAGACTTATTACAATAACTTCGTAACAAGTATAGTTCACCTTTGGTAAAACGATCATCGTTCGTTAATTTAATTATTATTTTAGTGGTATTAGGTATATACGAACAATTTTGGTATGAAACCATAATAATAATAATAATAAAATAAACAAAAATAATTATAACAATAATAAAATAATAATAATATTAATAATAATAATAATAATAATAATAATAATAAATAATAATAATAATAATAATAATAATAATAATAATAATAATAATAATAATAATAATGATGATTCTTTATCATATAGTGAAATCCTTTTTTTGTATTTTCTTTGAGTAACATCTTATTTTTCTATAACTCTTGACTTTATCGAGTTTCTTCAATTATTGAAATATCCTCCGAACGCGATTAGGTTTAATATTAATATTGTCGTTTTTTTCTTTACAATCAGGCAAACATACACACGTCATTTACTTAGTTAGTTACATACACTCATACACACACTCACATTCAACAAAAAATATATTATTTATTGTAATAATCATATTTTTAAAAGGGTTAGAAGAGGGAAGGAGAGCTGTTCGGATAGCCCCCAAGGTCCCAAAATGGATATTCTACTAACCTGCTTGATTACTATTGTGCCTTCCAATGATCGTAGTGCAGCATCAAAGAAAAACGTAAGTATGTAAGATCAGCTAAGATTTTTTTTTTTTAGATTTAGAGGTAATATTATATTTTATCTATTTAGATTAATTATAGAAATCTTCTTCTTGATTGCGGTGAATAGTAATGAATACTTTTTGTGCAACGATAAATTACCATCTGTTCGACATTTACGATCCATCATTTATTTGTTTATCGGTAGCTTTATACTGAGATTAGCTTTGCTTTTTTTTTCTTTATTAGCGGCTTTAATTTTTGTAACTTGATAATTCTTCTTTTAATATCGCTCTTCAACTGACAATATTATAGAATAATTTCTTCGTATGCTTTGAAATTCTCGTATCAGTGGTATCGCATATATACCAATAATATAATAAGTTGTAACTTCTTATTTGTTAAGATATTTTTTATATTTTTTTACTTTTTTTTTTGTATTTTTTGTTTGAGGATTTAGTTTATGCCAATTGGAGAGAGTTTACGAATGATCAATTAGAGATCAGAATTAGTTCCATTAAAATATTGTAATATTAATACAAGGCGACAAGAACTTTATTAGCGATATTGTAAAAATGATTTGAATAATTTATAGTATACTATAAATTCTTTGTATCTAATTTCAGTTATTATTTGTTACTAATAATATTAAAAGTAAAAGCTATAGGCCGAAGTTAATACAAAGACACTATTCTTCAGGTATCCTTACAGATTTAATATACGGAATTATAATGATCTATATTCTATACTTAAATGAAAATTCTTTAATCTTTTGCATTGACATGTACACGTAGAACTTCCATTCTAAATGACTCAACTTGGTACAGCCTTAGTTTATCGTGTTTTTACAAAAAATAAGACTCTGATATCATTAAAAGGAACTTCCTGCAAAAGTAGCAATCTTTGAAAAGAGCCAAAACGCTTAAGTCATAGATCCTAATTTATCGTGAGATCTTTGGGCGTGAAGCCTTTTGTAACTCTTCCTATATTTTTCAATCGTAATATCGGTATTATTTACGTCGGATAAACTAAGCGTTACTGTATCTAAACTCGCTGCTAACTTTAAATACGTTTCTTCCATTTCTCTCGTTATCTTAACTTCGTAACTATTATCAAGAGAATTTTTATCATTTACAGACAAATGCGACTTTTCATCTTCATTAGGTATATCAAATGTAATTAGGTCTTTTTCCTTGTCGTCTATCGGCGTACTATTAACATTCGTCGCATTTAATAAAGAATCTATTTCTTTATTGCTATCTATTTCCTTATTTAATTCTTCTTTTTTATTTATATCATGGCATTGCTTGTTACTTAGTTGAAAAGGTTTATGATTAGAAGTAATTTCGTTAGCGTAAGCAAACAAACAGGTTTCTTCTTTCTTTCCCATATTATCTTTCATTTTTAAACCATTAAAATTATTTTGTACAGAATTGTCTATGCAAGCAGACGATTGAACCCATTCCGCTACTCTTTGTAACTGGTTACTATCTTGTAATAAAACTGAATGTTTATCATTAGTGACAGACGGTAATCTCTCTGATCCAATCGTAGTTGTTTTTTTTGTGTGCACTAAAGCTGCATTCGGTTTACTATTTCCATTTGTAAATAAGGTTGCTTTACAATGTCCAGTATTATCTATAGGAATATTTTTGGATCCATGTGTTGTTACCCGTACAAGACAAGATCTTGAACCTAAAGTACGATTATTGAAATTAGATTTTTGATTATTAACTGAATTACTTGATTGTACTCCACTAGAAGATTGTAGAATATCGCTAGAGCTACTAGGAGGATCGGAGGTTGAAATGACAACACTGTCGCTACTAAAACTCGGACTAGTAGCAATTTCAACTTGTCGACAGTCATTGTGAGCCACATTATCTATATTTTTCACTTCAATCAAAGTTAAATGAGTAGGATTCTGAGGTTCCGTCCAAATTCTATTATTTTTCCAATCTCTATTATTAATAATATCTATCCCATTATCACTAATAATATTATCATTACTTTTATCCTTTATATTCGCATTCGATTTTGCTTTTATCCATTCATTCTTCCATAATCTGTCGTTAATAATATCTATCTGAGTCTGTTCATTATTGCTAAAATATTTTTTCGTATTTTCAGACGTATTATGAGAAGAGGGAGACGTTTCGGTTTCATAATTAGTCCAATTGCTTGTATTAGATTTACTAGCATCTAGTAGAAAATCAGATTTTTTATTTGTTCGTGTTTGTTTTGATTGATCTCCACTAATGCTATTAACAGTATTTGTTGATATAATATTATTAAAGGTAACAGACGTACTAGAAAGTGGAGGAATATTGGTTATTATATTAGAAGACGTATTAATGTTTCTGTTGCTTCTTAAAGATGTTTGCTTGTCACTACTTAATATTTCAACTTGAGTATGAACTTCCATATTGTCTTGTCGCATAGAATCCTTTTTATTATCATCCCTTAAATCTGGTAAATTTTTATTACCTTTAATGGCAAGTTTACTATCTTTAACATTATATAAATACTGTGTGGAATTTGAATATTTTGTACAATCTGCATTATTATGAAAATGGGTGGTACCATTGTCGACACCATCTTGACAATGTCTTTGAAATATCAAATTTGCATTAGAATTTTGATTACTTTTAGTTTGAAACGATTTATTAACTTTGTTTAAATATTCAGAATGCTTCTCTTCAGTCTGTACATGTCTCAAAGTGCATTCGTTACATGAAGCATCAGAATTATTCACCGTTTGGCATTCGGCATCGATCAATAAAATACTTTTATGACATGTGCACGTATCACAGTGTTTAGCAAAAATTCTTTCTTTTTCTCTGTCTTCCAATACTTTGGCCATAATAGCTGCCGATACTACGTCAACGGGAGGCTTAGATTCTTCTATATCATCTTCATCACTATGTTTTTCCACTCCTTGCTTAGATATATTGTAAACCATCGCAGTAGGAGGAAATGTTGATATAGGTACAATAATGCTTTTCATATTGGGCTGCGATGAATCTTTAGAACATCTTTTATGGGCAATGTATGTTCGAACTTTAGCTTGTACTTCAGTTGGCAACTAAGTAAAGAAAAATCAATCTTGTAAAGTTATAATACTTTTGGTAAATCTTATTATAATTGTAAATTGTGTCTTACCGAATCATATTTTTGTCCAACAAAATTAGAAGGCTTACACTGAAGTAGTTGAATAGCTAAATTCACATCATTTCTATACCTTTCCTATATATGAAAGATGATTATTTAAATTGTACAATTATAAATTATATTTTTTACACTTATAATATAACCATTTGAGTCGCAAGCGGTATGATTATGCTTTTCAAATTTCATATCGAAAAGATCAATTATATTTAACTGTTGCAGACAACTGATATATACTAGAATTCTAATAAAGTCAGTATGCTTAACATTATTGATGCTTATTAGTTGCATTAATACAAAATATTATTTAGATCTTCTCAATATAAATTGAAATAAGCACTATCGTACTTCATTTGAATCTTTTCAATAAGATTTTTCCAATGAGTGCTAGGACACCAAGGGTTATTAATATAATATAACGTACATTATCTTGAGTCAAACGATGAATAGTATAATTAGCATCAGCCAATCGGTGCGACAAAGTAGCTATATCCTTAGTGAAAGTACCCTTTTCGCTTTCACACTTGTCGACTATTCTGAGTAATTTATCTTCAAGATTTTGGTTAACTTTTTGAACTCTTTTGTGCGCATCATGCAACCTTTGATACTTCTCTTGCCAAATGAGAATCTCTTCCTTGATAGAAGCCAACTCTCCATTAGGAAATTTTTCAGCTTCGTTTAAAAATTGTGTCTCCATTGTTACAATATGGTTATCCCTTTCCAACAACCTTTGACGTAGATTTTCTATTTCCACATGCAAGTGCATGTCACATTGACGAAGATCCTTCTCCGTACATTTTGTGCATTCACAGCCACATTCCTAAAAAGAACAAAAATTCAAATATATAATAATAATAAAGAATATCAAATGTGAATAATAACACATCGTATGAGTATGCACGAACACTACCTTTAACAAAAGCGCTTCTAAGCATTTTCTGTGCTTTAATCCAGCATAACATATTTATGACAAAGTGATTGATTCATGAACGTACGTATGTGTGCGTGTATTTATATATGTATATATTATTTTTTTTTGTTCTTTTAAATGTTTTGAAAACTCACAAAAATGAATGAGTGCTTTTCACTGTCACATACCTTACACTTTTCTGCCATAACGATTTTGATAAATTAAATGAAAAATAAGGGAAAAATATTGTAGAATAGGCAGTTTTTGATACGGAAGCCTCATAACCGCCTTATTTAAGTCTCTAACACTAATATGGATTTATTTTCACTAATATGGAACTATATTATTTGCGTTCCTTAATTGTCAACATTATTATTCTACTAAAAAATTCAAATTATCACAGTGAACGAAGTAAAACGTTCGCACGTTAGCCGAGAAATGTCACTGAAATGTCAGCAGATCAAAAGTGAGTAACTTCAACCGGATTTCCTTAAACTCTCTTTGTCTGCTGTCGTCTGCCACGCTTAAACTTAATTTTAAGCAGAGAAGACGTATATACATGTAGAAGAGAATATCTTACTCGTTAAGATTTGACTAGATATATTTGAGTTGTCTTAATAGTTTATTTTACTCACGACAGATGGCGCCTCGAACGCTCCTTTAAAAACGCTCGTATTTTCGCGCGCATTGCATTAACAATTAAATATTTGTATATTTCATCGAAACTGTGATATATAACAATGTCATATGTGAGATTAATTTCGAAATAAATTAACAAGAAATTTGATTAAAATTATTACATTGATTTAATTGAATTTAGATTTTTGAATTATCATTCTTTCTGTTAATAAGTCTAGCTTAGATCCGCCATTACTACTTACTTGGTTATCAAGGGAAAATTCGGAGAATGCGAATGTGATAAGTATTAACAAAAAAACTGACAGATATGTTTAAACCTATGGTGTAAAAAACGAATAAAAGAGTTAAAAGAACAAATTGAAAAAGATATGAAACGTAAGTGAAATTTAAATCCATGAAAGTATAATAAATCTTAAAGATAAAAATGTTGGAGAATTGGGTCGAGAAAAAAAAGAAATTTATAATAAAGAGATTATTGCTTGCTCAAAAAAAAATCTAATAGGAACAATGATATTCTCATACATTATTATAAAAATGATAAAATAACATGACAGATGAAAAAAAATGTTTGGTATTGTTTGTTCGTTGTTGTTTGATAAAAATACCATTTTATTAAATTGAAATTTGTTATTGGAAATTTCAAAAGAAAAAAAAATGTGAGAAAAACTTGATATCAGTATGGATATCGATAGTAATTGGTATAGAAAAATACAATTTTCCCGTATTCCAGTAGGAAGAAATCAACCACCGTAATCAGTATGAACGATAACTGGCGAAGCCGTTCGGAACGACATTTGTTCTATTTCCGTGGACCGATGTAAACCCACCTTAATCCGTGGAAAATAATACGAGCGAATGTACCAACGGTAACTGGAATGTATATTCTGTTTCGGCGACTATATTTGGAAGATTCGTAAATTAGAAAAACGACTGGATATTGTTGACGTCGTACAATCCATGAAAAAAAAAATAAACACACACAATATTTTTCCCATTGTAACGTACATATATTGAAAAAAAAGATAAATAAATAAGAAAAAATAGAAGAAAAACAGTAACTGCTGTAAGTCGAGAAATCATCAATAGCATTGTCGATAATAGAAAGAGATAACGTAACTGAATGATAAAAAAAGGGGGGAAAAAGTAGTAAAAGAACGGCGATATGAAGTAGTCAGACTCCTCGTGCGTTGTACACGAAAGCTCTGACCGAGGCGGATGAGCGACACGACGACGGTGGCGGCGTCTGTGGTGGCGGCAGTGGTAATGGTTGACAAGTGGTGGGGGGTGACGGTGGTGAATGTGTCGAGTGGTGGGAGTAGGAAAGCTGCGTGGAGACGAAGCATACACGGCGGGTAGTAGCTGCGCGAGACGGAGAGAAAGGGTTTCGTTACGAGTGGGAGGAAGAAGGTAACCGAGGGTGGTTGGGTTGCCATGGTAGCTACCCCGGCCGGGGAGCAGACCCTAGTCTTGCCGCGGCGGTCGCCGAACGTGCAACGGCATGGTGTTCTTTATTTCTTGTGCTTGACTTCATTCACTTATTTCAATTAAATAACTGCCAAAGCATTTTATTGTTACTTTAAACAAAGCTTTTTATTATCATTTTATCCTCCATTCTCCTCAATCCCCTCCTATTTTTCCTTCATAGTAGATTCTGTGATGTTTTATTAAAATGTGACGAAATATCGAGTGACAAGACGAACGGAGTGATTAGGAGGAAGAAAAGAGGAAAGGCAAGAAATATATATACATATATATGTATATGTATATATAGGTATACGTATATAAGTATATAGATATATATATATATACATATATATGTAAAAGAAGCTTGGACATACTTCGCGAATATACACATTATTACGTCCAATTCTTCATCTTCCTCGTTCTCATATTTTACTTCGATAAGAAGAATATTGAAGAGAAGAAGTGAAGAATCGTTCCTTCGAACGATCTGTGGCCGCGTGGCCAGACACTCTACGCGTACTTTCTACTTACCCAGGTGTCCTCGGATTGCTTGGTTTCGATACGCGATGGAGGATCGCGACGATCATGCTGGGACATCTTTGAGAATTCGATCTCCTGGGAGCGTGATTCCTCAAGCTCGCTAAAAGGTTTATTATTAATTACGTATTTCATATTCAATGATTACTGCCACCCACCTTTAATTTAAATTACACTTTTTTTGTATTCTCGAGAGATCATTAAAAAATCCAACACTATTTATTCCAATACTATGAAATATTTTCACGCGTGTATGTATACACACATCTACTTATGTGTGATGTATTTACATGCTCGTGTATACGTGTACGATCTGTTGTTGTTGTTTTATTATTAAAGGATTATTCAAACGTGCGAATGAAAGACTATATAGATATATTATCTCAATGAAATTATCTATTTATCTGGATAGATTTCGTCAAATTTTCCCGTCCATCATTGAATATTTAACTATCGCTATTTTCATCGAATAGACACTTCGTATAACACATATGTATTTGTATGTATATAATGCATATACTGCAGTATACGTACGAAGTATCTCCTTCCTTCACGGTGCAATCGGAGCCGTGGCAACTTTTAATGATCCCTTCCTTGCTATCTCGATACGACGTATACGGTCTATGCAACGTTTCTTCAAGACGATTTCAATAGTATATATTTTTATGCGCTTCATTTGTTGTTTATTGATGGTGGGCGAATGGAAATGGGATGGAGGCTTCATTATATCCTGAATTTTTTCTTTTGTATATTTTTTCTCTTTTCTTTATTTAAGATAAAAACACAACGATAGGACAAGGCAATTATAAGTAACGTTTTCTCTCTCTCTCTCTCTTTCTCTTTCTCACTTATATTAAATATTATCATTAATTTTAGAAACAAGGTTTACTTATGTACTTTACTGCGTCTATACGTATATATGTATATATGTACTTAGTTTAAAAGTAAAAAGTATCCAATGTCATGCGAAAAGTTGGCCAAGCGCATTTTCCAGAGTCAACGAGAAACGATAAGCAAACAACGGGTCACTATTACACGTTCGTGCTTGGAAAGGTGGATTTAAATATCCCGCTTAATTTCCAGCCGGATAAAAGATCACTCGACGACGGCGGGGGTTCTTCTAGATCAAATAAAGGTTTCCGACATTAAGTTTGCGGAACTTGGGAAAACCGAAGGAAGTAAATTAGCGTTTGCTTTTTAGTTCTTTCTTTTTTTTTTAAATTCCTTTCTATCTTCTTTAATTTCTTCTTTTCTTTGTATTTATTTTGTACTCGTTCAAACCACGTATTAATACGTTATGACCGATCACGAACATACTCGTGATTGCACATGCAAGCAAATTATGCAATTATTAAGAAACATACAATTAAAGTTTAAGTATTTTGTATATTTTTTTTTATTTGATTAAAGTTAAAGTAGTTGTTAAAGTTATATCTTATCAATTTTCTCTGTGCTTTCTTTTTATTTGTTTTTTTTTTTTTTTTTATTGGAAAATATCTCTATCAGTTTTTTGTCGATTTTTATCGATGATTATACAGAATATTTGGGCTATTTGTACATTAGTAACTTATGTTATAATTACATTATTAAAATATCAGATTTTGCAGGTGGTTATTATAATGTTGTTTATCGTGATTTGTAGTGCTTAATTTTTAAATTTTGATATTACAAATATTTTTCATTATTTTCATTATTTATATACACTTATTAATTTATAGTCATTATGAAACGCATTAGGGGTTTTTTTTTTATACAATTTTTATTATTTTATCTATCTTTTTTTCTTTTTCCTTGAAGAAGAACCTTTCATTTATTTTTATTTTCAATTTCCAAATGTCTCTATCGGTTTTTTCGTTTCCTATCGACGATACAAAGAATTACTTTTTTTTCTAGGTGTATATATATATATATATAAGGAACTTGTAAATCAGGACGTTGATATCGTATCTGCAACGATCGTGAAACGGAGAACGTAGACAAAAGAAAAGCAAGAGATTCTCTCTTTTTCATCTCTTTGAATCCACTCATCGCCTTAGGGCGATTTTTTTTCGCGGTTATAAGAAGAAGATACACTCCTCGCGATAGGAACGATACAAGGTTCTTCCTTTGGTCGACCGTGTCGACTTTATCGAGCGTCAACGAAGTCGGTTGGGTACTTCAGAAAAATAGACTACTTCTTCACGAACATTTCTACTTTTTATATTTTTTTCCATTCTTTCCAAGGATTTTTCAATAATTTATTGATACTTAATAATGTCGTTTTTTTTTTTAATTAATTTTTTTTTTGAATTAGTAATTGGAATTTTCTTAAATTCAATAAATTGTTATTATTATATAAGAGAGAACTAGGGGAAAGGATAAAAGGATAATGATATGGAGATTTTAGATAAACTATTATCGATTTATCATAGTTAATTAATAAATAGATAAATAGTTAAATTATTTACAGAAATATCGATGTATTAATTTGTTACTTAAAATTTATACGCTTGGTCATAGAGGGTTAATATATAAATGCTATTTTAGATACATTATTAACACTTTTACACAATTTTAAGTAATTATTAATTTGATTAATGAAATATTTTACAATTAGATAAAATCCAAATTCGATTTTCAAAATAAAATTATTTTACAATTGAAATAGATTATATTTATTTCATTATATTACATTATAAAATAGTTATTCGAGTATAACACTATATATGGTTTTTAAATAATAAAAATTATTTTTAATATCAATAATCATATCCTTATAAAAAGAAATATAAAAAATATAAAATATAAAAATAGATACCTAGACAATTAGGCACTCGTCTAGATTAATTACTGTTTAATTACATGTTTAATTTTAATTATATAACGTTAAAAATGAATTTTTAATTAATTACGATTTAATGATGCTAGGTCTAGTTTGTGTTATAAAAAAAAATTTATATATAATGTATGTCTTAGTAATACATAGAAGACTCGGAACATTGATGATCAAGTTGCTGAAGAAGTCCTAATAAAAGGACGAAACGTTCAACAAGATCAAAACAATATGTTTTGATTTTTTTCACCTGTCCAACTTCCCTATGCTACAAAGTTTGTATAAACAATAAAATAAACTTAAACGAAAGTAACATATTAAAAAAGCATGATTCATTTATCGATTGTAAGCTTTAAATTCGATCGAACTATTCTTCTATCAAGAAGGACAGTTAAAGAATGACTTTTAGTGAAACAACGAATCGTTACGGGGTCGTTCTCTTCCGTTATTCGAATCCATGCAATCATTTCCATACGACGACGAGGAAAATGTGTGTGTATGGATTCTCTCAACGTGTACGCGTGTTCGTGAATGCTTTCCACCAACGGGAAGAAATCTCTGATGGCGGGAAGAAGGGAAGTCGGAAGGTGGAGAGGTGTCTGCTGCATCCATATGCATACATACATATATCTATATCACCAGCTGCATCCCTCTTCTTCTTCTTCCCCTCACCCCTTTCTTCTTTTTCCTCTCGTTCTTTCTTTTTCATCCCTTCACCCTTTTACCCCTTACTCTTCTTCTCTGTTTCTACAAATCTATCGGCTCGTGTGCTCGCTTTGCTTCAAGCTGCTCAGCTTGGTAATATGTTACGATTTTCATTTCGTTTATATTTCTTTCTCACCTTGCTTACATCTCTCTACGTATATGTAAATATATAAATATACCTACATGTATATTTGTTGTATATCTAAGAAATAAATTTACCGAATTGAATTTCATGGAACCGAGATTTTTCACTAGTCTCGTCGTCCTCGTCTCGTAGTCGTCGTTGTATTTCGTAGAAAATTTGTGAACGTGGGTGTATGCAAAAATCTCCGTTTAAAGTCTCTGTGTCTTTCTCTATTTCCATCTCTTTTTTTTTGTTTTTTTTNTTTTTTAGCTTGTACTCGTGATATAAAGAAAATGAGAGATAGAGAGAGAGAGAAGAAAGGGGGATGTTTGAGAAAAATTTTTATCCCCCTATCTTCATCCTCCTTCGAGAATCACGAGACTTTTAATTATTCTACTTGCATGAGAAAGCTTCTTCCTTAGACTTGTTTGTTGTTTCCCCTGGTGAAAACTACGTTGATAAAAAGGTATCTCAAGAAGTTAAAGGATAGAAAGAGAAAGGATAAGAGAGAGAGAAAAAAAATAACAAAAGAGAAGAAAATAAAATGAAAAAGCGGAGAGAAGTTTTTTGGTAGCTTATTTATTGAATCAATATTTTTTTAACATTATTGATCTCAGTATGTTAAACAATTAAGCAATCAATATTACTACAATTAATATGAAAACTGTATTTGAAAAATGTGTTTACTATTTATAATAAAATATCACTCTAAATAAATATTTCAACCTGTAATTTTGTTTTTATTATAATTATTGTAATCTGTTCTCAATATCTGTTTATTCAATGATTATATTTTATACTAAATATTGTTTGTTGTAAAATAAATGAATTCGATTTATACGATAGAAATTCGAAAATCGGATTAATTCGAAATTTTTAAATCGAAAATTTATTTTGACGTAGACATTTTTTTAAATCGTCTTTTAATATTGATAATTTTTCAAATAAACAGTTACTTTTGTACATCTCATTTATTGGATAAGTATTAGTAAGTATTTTTATTTAATATTTGAAATCACAATTATTACTATTTATAATAAAATAGTAATAAATAATTCTGATACATCTCTAATGCAAGTCTCCTCTTACCCTTTAAGTGTGAACTTAATCCATTACCCACCACAATACGAAAATGCAAAAAAAATTAAATTTACTGTATAATGATATTTATACTAACCAAATAGAACTATTTTTGCAACAATTGTTTTTTTTTTATTTAAATATAAAAATTATTTTATATCATTAATAATTAGTGATTTAAAATAAAATAGTGAGAATTTTAATAATTTAATGAAGAAAGAGGTACGATTTGATAATTTTAACGAATATATTTCATTCTGAAGTTGCAGTTATTAACAAAAAAAATTTGAAAATGCGTCCCAAAAAAAGGCCATTGGCGGGTAATGGGTTAATGTGCCAATTTAAATACTTAACACTTTACCGACCGGTAGCGATTCGAGAATCCTATG